GACCCAGACTTTGGGGGCGATATGCTGACTCTGTAAACCGCTTAGAGAGGGCTGAAAGCCCTATGAAGCGGTATATAAGTCTAACTGCTATTGCTGAAATTACTGCCTAAACTAATGACAAATTTAAGTTGGGTTTTGTCTATAAATGAAATCTCAAAGATTATATTCACAGATTATATAAGTGAGATCTCCTAAATGCCTGTTTGGACAGAATAGTTTCCAGTAAAAAATCCACCCCAGTAAGGAAATAAATGTGTTTTACAAACCTGTCTGTTAAAAAAGCACAGATAAGATCCTTTGCCTGCTTTGAAATTTCTACATCTTCTGGGAAAAGCAAGGAGTTCTTGTGATCCATTATTTTACTGTACGTTCCCACCAACGAATCAGCATAAAACGGAGTATCCCCTAAAAATTCAAAATGTACAAATGCATTATTGTTGTGGTTGAATCTTAAAGATTAACATAGCATTTAAGATGGTAAATTGAGCATCCAACGCTTAAAGATTCAAAATATAAACATGCTGGTCCTCTTCAGATTTGAACTGGGCTTCTGTAATCTCCTTCCTCCCCCCGTCTCTGCCTCTGCCAAGAATAAGTGAAGTTAAAGGCTTTTTCTTTCCCTTCTATTTTAAAAATTAAGTAGAAGAATGTCTGGAAAGCTCATCTTTTTCTACAGCTCCCATTTCAACAAATCCGGAGTCAAATTATGATTTGCAATTCTGATTTGTTCAAAACCGTAAGTTGAAATTAAAAGTTTTGTTGGCAACGTATCAAAATGGTAGTTCCTCCTTTCTTTTTTTTCCGTTCCACCCAAAATACCTCAAATTCCCTTAAATGTCCTTTTAAAAAGCAGATCTTGTAGAGGCGTTGGGAAAAAAGAAAAAGAGACAAGAAGCATTCCATTCTATCAAGAGGAAACTGCTCTTCTTCATGCAATATATCATTTATGTTCCAAGTTGTACCCCTGAGTTCTGGGCAGGACGAGCAATCCTGCTTAGTTTCACAGGAGAAATTGTTTTTGATTACTTTATTCCAACTGTTTAGGCAGTGATGGAGAAACTGCAAGTACTAGCTTCATGAAAACTGTACGGCCTTAACCCTAACCAAGATTTATCTTTTGCTGAAACTCACATGACAATTGTTTCTAGTGGGCATAAATTGTATTTCCCAGTGCTTCAAAACAATGAGCCTAACTGTATACAACATTCCTTATATTGGCTTATGTATTTAATTACAGCATCACTAACCTTTATACAAATATTTAAAGAAAACATGTTATATCATAAGAGAATTTGCTACTGAGAAGGGACAATTTGCTGTCATGAATCTTCTATTTCAAAAAATGCCTAGGGGGAGAGATTTATTGTGCAATTTATCTGCGAGTATATAAAAAATTATTTCTATAATATATTTCTATAAAAATTCCTAAATTAAGCAACAACTGTTTCAAAATTGTCCAACATATCAAAGGCATTTTCCACATCCAGATAAATCACTACTAATTTCAATTTTTCTGAATATATACTTAGGAATTACAATTCATAGTCTCATATTACTAGATACTTAGAAGCCTTTTCTAAAAACAATGACATTAAAGGTAATATAATATGTAATGCATGTGCCATTCTAAAATCTGAATGGTATTGGTATAATCAATATGTGACACCAACAAATAAGTTAACCATCTAGGCCAGTGGTTCCCAAACTTGGCAACTTTAAGACTTGTGGACTTCAACTCCCAGAATTCTCCAGCCAGCAGCTGGCTAGAGAATTCTGGGAGTTGAAGTCCACAAGTCTTAAAGTTGCCAAGTTTGGGAACCACTGAGCTAGGCCAGTAGGTTCTTCTTTACATCGATTTAATGGTAACAAATATTTCTCAGTAAGATAAAGGAGCAACTAAGTCGTGTATAATCTTGAGAAGAGCTGTAATCTATAAAAATTAATTACTTTTGTTCAGGATTAAATGTAGCATAATATTACACGATCAAGAATTTAAATAGATTGCTGATTTACTGAGTCAGAATCACTATATTCTTAAACTGGTCATCCTAAATAGGAAACATATTTATATTGCTGCAATGGTTTGAACCATTAAATCACATTTTTATCTCATTGTCAATATCTGTTTTAGTGAGTATTCTGCTTTGACAAAGTTCCTGTGTATCAATCATAGTTGCTTTATATATCTTAGTAGAATCTTTCCTGCAGAATAGCAGAACTGAAAGGAACCTGGGAGATCTTCTAGTCCAGTGTTTCTGAACCATGGCAATTTTAAGTCCTGGGGACTTCAACTCCCAGAATTCCCCAGCCAGCTGGCTGGGGGATTCTGGGAGTTGAAGTCCCCAGGATTTAAAGTCACAAAGGTTGAGAAACACTGTTCTAGTCTAACCTCTTTCAGGAAACCCTATACCATTTTTAAACACTATGCATATTAAAAGTTTCTTTAACTTTTCCCCCATTGTCATCTTTTGATTTTTCTATAACAAATAAGCTATAATGCAATAGGCATTAAAATATGGATGTAGAATGTCATAAAAAAAACTTTTTTGCAGAAAGTCTATTTATAGAATGCTATTTATAAGAAAAACTTCAATTTTTTGTTGTACCTTTTATAAACCACGGCTTCTTTTGTAAAAATAATAAAGTAATACTTAAATACCGTAAGTAAAAAGGGGGAAATGCTTCCTATAGTAACTGTTAATTTTATTTGGGCACAGTCTGACATTGCTATCCAACCTATATTACATATATTAAAACATTTATCTAGAACTAGAATACTAGAAACTAGCCTAGTTTAGAATGACTCTAATGTGAAACTTTAAAAAGGTATATTCTTCTTACAAAGGGTTGAAAAATTGTCATACATCATGTCAATCAATTCATAGATATTCTAGAAACATCCTTAAAATAGAAGTATTTTCTGAAATGTGTAAACTAATTAAATAAGTTTTTTTACCACTATTTAGGATTCCTCCTTTTGTATTTTGTCTGACTTTCCGTTTCCTTATTCACCATGCAAGTTTGAAATGTTTAGAAAAAAATAGATTGTAATGAACTGTATCCTAATTGAAAAAGAGTTTATTTAATAACATGATCTAATAAAACGATGTCCAAAACATCTATATAAATTTCATAAATACTACACCTGAAAAGTTCCTAATAGAACCATAATGATTATTACTTTTATTAAAGCAGTTTCATCAAGAATATTTAAAGCAACTTTCTGAAACATTTATTTCTTGCTCCATTATAAATTTTGAGCACTGGTTAATCAGGCTCCTAATTTTTGACCAACCACCCCTAATTTTCTTCCTCTTGAGAAAGAACGTGATTTCCTTTTAATTCAAAGGGCCCACTTGACATAACAAATGTAGATTATGGGTCCCCCCCCCACTTTCTATTTTAGGACTAGGTTTTTGAACCAAATGAAATAGAAATCCTGGTAAGGACGGTAGCTTCAATTTCATGCAATGGCTGAAGAGTTCAAAACCATTTTTCCATCGAAGCATTCATAGGCTGTAAAATGCAAATGTAATGTTTAGCTAATATAATATGTAGGGAATTTTTTTCTCTCCCTCCCTTCCTCCCTCCCTCCGTGTGTGTCTGTGTATGTGTCTGTGTGTGTGTGTGTAACTGCTATATAAAGTCTGCAGTCAAATAATCTCATCCTGAAGATCTTTGTTTTTAAAACATTTGCCATCTCTATGAAAAGTTGTTTATCGGAATTTTTAACCTCAGTAATTATTTCATGTGACTTTATAACCAGCCTTTTTCTCTCTGTTTTTTTAATCTAAAGCATCGAATATCTGACTTTAAAAAACTCTTAATTTCTCCTTTCAATTATTTTAACAAGATTTTGATACGCATAAACCAGTCATTATAAAACTTTATATGTAGTTAGAAAGTGCCTTTAAAGTGGTGAGAAGCCTATTTTTGTTTTCTTTCCTTTTGGATTTGGGTTGCATCCAGTAGAATCCAAAATTTAAAACTGCTTTTCCTTAACTGAGAAATAATTAAAGTTGCAATGTTCAACATGCCAGATAGAAGTGCCAATTTTCCATGCTATTCGGAGAAGTTCATTTTATAAGAATCTAAAAGGCATCACTAGAAACCAGATTCACTTAGCGACCAGGATTAGCAACAGCAGCAAGAGCATGTCAGCACACATAGATTGAGCAAATCTGTATTATATATTTGTAGCAACTACATCACTAGATCATATTAAGTATTATCAAGACAAAAATCCATATACACGCAAGGAAAAGAGAAAAATAACCACTACTTACCAACAAGCATTTCAAACAGAAAAACTCCGACAGACCACCAATCACATTCCCGTCCATAGTATCCATCACCACCTTGGGATTTTAATACTTCAGGCGATATATAATCTGGTGTTCCAACAGCTGTATCACAACGCACCATGCCAGTCTATTCAACCACATAAACAACGACAATTAAACAACACTTAGGTATAGTAGTTAACACTAATCACATTTTTCCCCAATTTTTTCTCCTTCATTTTAACCATACTATTTCTTACCAATATGCCTTGTGTTTCTTTTACATGAACCTTAGGGCCAAAAGTATAAAGAAAAATTCTTGTTCACTGAAGTGAAGGAGTTAAAACTTAAAGTTAACAAAGTCAGACAAAGTAAACAAAAGCTGGGAATGTATGCTATGTCCAGTTAATGGCTCACAGAATCAACTGGTTTGCAATAAATTTCAAGAGAATTTTGGAGCTGCTCCTAAAATAACAGAAAACAATATATAGTCACACCTCTATTTAGAGTAACTTAGTAGCTTGCAAGCATTCCAGTTATGGAGTACGGCCCATATAAAGCTATAAAATATATATATATATATTTTTCCCCCGATAGCTTATCTATTAAAGTGTACTAGTAGTAAACTGTAGTGCAATAAAAGCTGTGAAGCTTAAGTTCCAGGTTCAATTCTTATTTCACTTGCCTGCATGTTATCTGTTATATTTAACACTAAAAAATTAACCTGTTTGTAGTAGTGATTCACCCTGAAATAAATAAATAAATATATATATATATATATATATATATATATATATATANAGTTAAAAATTGACAAAATCACCATCAGTCAAATGCAAAAAGCCACACTGCTTGGACCTGCACGCATATTACGAAAATACGTTATGACCTCCTAGGTGGGGCCCGACTAGTAACCAGTGCCAAATTCGGCGAAACAACTGGCCGCTGTGATACAATTGTATAATAATAATAATAAAGCAATGATATATATTTTTAAGAAATATTGCCTCTTCATTAAACTGTAAACCAACTATATGTAATTGAATAAATTACATAAAAATGAAATATATTTGTAGACATTACACTTGATCTTAGCCAAGATTTGAGATTTTACCATCATTGTTACTGAAAGTGATATTTAATAATAATATACTCTATAAGAATATATTTTTACTGCACAATGAGAGGCTGAACTTGCCAAATGCATATATATTCACCATCCTTCTGTACAATCTGCCACAATAATCTAGTAATGACTTTACTATTCCATTTTTATAAAATTCATTTTAAAAAATTTCTTAGTTGACAAGTAGATATAATTTTCAGAAAACCAAATATTTTTTATTCTTTGCCAATGAATTCATAATATATTTTTATTACTACCTATATTATGTTATTATTTACGTTTTGTTTTTTGTGTATGCTGTTCTTTGATTGCAATTTTTACCTAATCTATTTGTAAAGACTGCAAATTTCTTCAAATTAACAAAATTATGCATTCCCTCAAGAGCATTGCTGAAAACATTTACTTTTTTATTTCCTGAAAAAATGCAAGATACTAATTAAGACAATAAAATAGCTTCAAAAACATTGTGCAAATGAAATATATTGTTGAAATGTTTTTATGGAACAAAATGCAGTCTGTTGCATTTCAGCAAATCTGGCAACTCATATTAAATTCCTCTTATGATATTCTATTATATTGCTATGCTAGAAATTATTTCAAACTAAATTACCTATATAAAAAAATCAACAAGTTGCAGTAATTGGCGTAAATTGCCAATTTATTAAACTATTTCCATTTCCAGACTTTCCAGAATAGAACCAGGAAGCACATCTTTAAAAGCAGGCTGTAGTTTGAAAGTTATCAACAAAATATTTTTCATCTCCTGACTAAATGGTAATAGCCATAAAGTATAGCCATGAGGCAACACATTGAGTTAGAAAAATGTCTACATACTGTGATCAAGATTCAAAAATATATCTCAGAGATGTGGTCAGACTTTATATTGTATAATAGAAAAGCAACTTTTTATATATATTTTCTAGCGAGCAAAATTGAATAAGCATTCATTTTTTATTCTGTTCATCTTGCTCTAAATGCCTGCTGCCCCTTTTCCAATACAAACTGCCTGTTCTGGGGAAAGTGAAAGAGAAGATGGATAGATCTTCTTTTCTGTATATATTTTTCCCATTGGAATTCTGGTACTATACATATATATGGGGGAAGTGGTACCATACCTTCTCTTTCCCAAAGATAAATTATTGCTAAGAAGAAGAGACAGCCAAGGAATGAGCAATTACAAACTTAGAGGAATTTTTTCAAATGTTTAATAAAAGTAGTTAAACCGTCCTCACTTGGGAAGAAGATGGAAAGCAACCAGAACAACTTTCTCTCATTCTCACAGTAATTTATAACACAAGAGTCTCTTCAAGTTTAAAATACATTCACGTATTATATTGTCAGAAAAAAGGCTGCTTTTCAAAGCAGAAAAGTGTAAAATCTTCTCAAGAGATTTGCACAGATCTAGCAGCATGCTTCTTTGGATCCCTGGCAACATCAACAGGAAAAGCTGAATGATGTAACTGGTTTTGGAACACAATGAATCAAAAACTGGATCTACGTTTTCAATTACTACAACTCTTCAAAGACAGCCAATGGAGTCATCCAATTCCAATCGATTTCTGAAACTCATATAATTTCCAGATTGGTATGAAGTATATGACAATGTGATCAGGGTACATAAAGCCTATGTATTGTAGGAACCTGCATCTTCATCAATGTGTTTTTTTCTTCATCAGTTAGTATTTTTATCACTAATATCATTAACAATTAGGTATTATATTTTGTTGGTCACTTCCCAATAATCTTAAATTTAAAATTACTATAGCTTGCTTTACATTTCCCATACACCAGGATGAAATTCTCAGTGAATTATTTATTTACATTATAGATTTAATGAAAAAGTTACCAAGGAAAAATAAGGGTTTTTTCCTTTTAATTTCCCAGAAAAACTAAATTTTTGCAGCAGTCAAAAACCTTTTGAAGGATTGCTACTAGATTGCTCTTATGATGTGTACCTATATCACTGTACCTAATAACGTATATAGAATTGTTGATAAATCTATAACAGTAAAAATAAGAGCCACATTTTAAGTGTTATAAAAATAAAATTATGAGAAACTGTTCAGACCTTCTGACCTTATTTTATAATTACTATTTCTGTCATACTCATTTATTTGTTTAATACTTACATTTAAAATGCATTTCATTATTTTTAACAGTGCCTGAAATCCTGTCACTAATCAGTATATCTTACTAAAATCAGTGTAAAAAGAATTATTAGAAGCACCCAGATATCCATCACATTGAGCTCATTGGAATTTTAAAATGCATAATTTAGGGTCCATTCCCATGAAACTCACGAAGTAGAACTATTCCTGAAAAGATGTGTCTATTCTTAATCTAGATTCCATATAACAGTTTCCAAGGAGGACAAATCTCTGATTATGAAATGGCATTTACATCTGGGTGATCAAAAACCTATCCTTTAGTATGTATTGGTGATGCTTAGTACTCAAGTTAGAAATGGGATAAGTCTATGATTGCCTGTCATGATTGCCATTTTGATATTATTTACATCCATATCCACATCCTGAATGCCCCAAATCAACAGTTAGTTCCCACAAAGCTTTAAAAGGGGTTTTCCCCATAATGTGCTTAATTAATACTATTTAAACTGTTTAAACTATAAAATACAGATACTTTTCCTTTCAAAAAATCAAAATAAAGAAATAAATTCAATGTAAGAATATATCAGATCATTCTATTTAGGGTAGAGAGAGGCAGCATATCCCCCATTCCCCAATGTTATTGGAATATATTTCCTTTATTCTTCATCATCATTAGGTCCATTGATAAAAAGTTGACCAGTTCCAGATTAATATTATTACTCAGAGAAAACTGACTACCTTCTAGTCATTTTGGACTCCTAGTGACTTCCAGGACAATACTTTCTTGTTTTCTTGACAATATTTTCAAAAGGGGGTTCTTATTGCTTTTCTCCTGGGGCTGACAGAGTGTGACTGGCTCCAGGTCATCCAGCTGGCTTTGTGCCTGAGATAGGGTTAGAGCCAGTTTCTAGTTCAGTGATGGCGAACCTATGACACGCGTGTCAGTGCTGACACGCGTAGCCATTTGGGGTGACACGCACAGGATTTCATGCAATTCATCCTCGGCTCCTGCACGGCCGCCGAGGATGAAAGAATCTGTGCTGGAGGAACGGGGGGGACGACGTGTGATCTCCCCCGCCCACACTCACTTACTGTATCGCCAACGCCCCTTTCTGAGCGCAGGGGCTGCTGGTAAGGCGTGCGTGCCGTGCGCACACACGTCATCAGCGCGGCGAGGGAGGACCCGCAGGAGAGGAGCGCGGGAACAGTGCGCGCCTCTCTCCAGTCAGGCCGGCACAGAGAGTCTTATGTTTTTGTCGAAGTGACACACAACGCGAGTTATGCTCGATTTTTTGCCGATTTTTGACACACCACGCCAAAAAGGTTGCCCATCACTGTTCTAGTTCAATGTCTTAACCACTTTACCAAATTACCATAGTCCAAGCTTTATTTTACATTTAATTTATAATCACAATAGTATTCTCAATAACTTTTTTGTTATTCAATAACAATTTAACATACCAACTATAAACAATCATTAAAAATAAATAGGCTGACTATTTCTCCCACCACCACCACCACCATCTGAGTTAAATCATAGATGAATTAATAGATTTAAGAATATAAATGACAGTCGCCCATGGCTAAAAACTATATTCTCCAGCATATTCCCAAATGATGCTTTCAAGGCTATTGATATTGCTTTCAATCTAGCCGACCAAGCAGCTTTTCTAACTTGCTGCAGTGCAATGCAGAACGAAAAGACATGGGTATCTCTGAACATAACATATGGGGGCGGCGGGCGGGCGGCGGGAAATAAGAGCAGTTAGACATAATCGCGACAAACATCCAATCTCTTTGGTTTTGCGGTAAGAGCGCCTCGGGCCTGCGCAGTAATCCCGCGCGCGGGCTCATATACACATGCACATATATAAACACACGCGCGCGTGTAAAGACAGACACAGCAGAACATGT